ACCAAGGGCTCAAGTAGAAAGAAAGTGTTTTGAGAATGATGATGGCAACAAATGTACAAATGTGCTTGACACAATGGATGCATGTATGGATTGTGATAAGAGTTGTATGAGCCCCAATAAAATGATTTAAGTGCTTGACAAGATGGATGTAAACATTGTGATAAGAGTTGTAAGAGCCCCTAATAGAATGATTTTTAAAAAAACAAAAGAAACTCAATCCAACTTGGCATACAGGAATTCCAGCATGGCCATCCCTGCCAGCTCCTGCCCTCCCTCTGCTTCACATAAGAGAATGGGGTCTAGGGGCGTCTAGGATACCCGGAAGTAAGTAAAGCCCTCCTACTCCCACCGTGTTTCCAGGGCCAAGTCCAACAGTGCCCTGGAAATGGGCACTCGCTTATGTCTCCAGGCTCCTCTGGACCTTCACCGACCACCTGGGTTTTCACTGTTCTTTCACTTACAGGCCATCAGCAAGCAGTGTGTTACTTCACTTCTCTTGACAAGCGATGAACACATAGAAGGACAAATAGCTTTGTTTTTGTGGGGCCCAGAGAGAGGAAGTGGTTCTCAACAGCTCACTTTTGTCACCTTGCTTTTTTGTGCGTTTGCAGCAACTCAAGCACCCCAACCTCGTCAACCTCCTGGAGGTCTTCAGGAGGAAGCGGAGGCTGCACTTGGTGTTTGAGTATTGCGATCACACCGTTCTGCACGAGTTGGACAGATACCAAAGAGGGTGAGTGAGGAGCCCCTGGCGTGGGTTTTTCCTGTTGAACCCAAAGGACTTTATTTGGCTTTGCAAATCATACAGAATGCCGACTTCACTTTGATACACTTGCATATCACATCAGCCCCTAAATGCAGTATCTCAAAGATATTCTACCCCCCACCTCCACGCCAAGGCACTTCCCTTCTGCACATCACTTCTTAGCACATCTACTCCTACATGGCTGCAGTGTGTACCTGGTCTCCTTCCTTTAGAGATGTCCCAAGAAATGAATCTTAGCACAGCCAGCGGATGGGGCTCTTTACATGAGACATGCTTGCCCCCTTATTTTGCTGCAGGGGGGGATTTAAAGCAAATAACACACATCCAGAAATCTGTGAGGAGATATCAGCAGTGATTCCTTTTAATGTTTGAGATAAGAACAGTTCGTGCACATCTTTACACATCTGTGCTGCTGGGGTGAGGGGACCTACCCGTTGGGCCAGAGTTCACCAGTCATCGTTTCTATGAGGACACCTGTGAGAGCGGTGCGAGGCGGGGCTGGGTCTCTGTGCGTGATCTCTGCACAGAAGTCATCTCAGGCTCTCAGAAAGAGAACCAGCTGTTAGTCACTCCTTGCCTGACTCGGGAACACCAAACCATCACCACCACAGGCCAGCCCGCTGCCATCGAGCTGATTGTGACTCTTAGG